GTTATCTTACAGAGCGCACACGGTAGAAGACTACTTGATAAAGCTTCCTTTTGGGTAGGGCTAAATTATTTCCTGCTCAAGAGTTAAGTCTTCTGAAATCGGAATCAATTTCCTAGAACGTAACACGTTGAATTGAGCCCAGAGACATGTTCATCTGTAGTCTTTTCTTTTTGATGGGAGAAAACATTACAAAATTCTTATTCAATTATCTTCTTATTCTTAACTGTTCTTGGGAGGACTCAAGTCAGAAGAGACTGAGATTGGAATCTCTTTATCAAATTCTCCATAGAAGAGATGGTCTGAGCCAATACCATAGCAGTCAGCATCTGTTGTCTCTGCAAGGAGACCTCAGCAGTAAGTTGGCTTAAAAAATAAATTGACCAATTTTGAAATCAGGTGTGAAAGATAAAAAGGAACCTGAGGATTTCTATACCATTTTTGTGATATAATAGGCTATAGCCAAGAGTCACTTTATGAATATTTTTTAGGTTCCATCCCATATTCTCTTCAGAAATTAACTACTGTAATCATTTTCATTACTCTAACAGAGCCTGATGATTCTTGTTCTAGAGTGAAGCACCCATGCCAGCTCCCCTGTTAACAGATAATAGACCTGGTGCAATGACAGCACCCTGACTGATGAGCAAGATCCCATGTAGACTAAGGAAAACAACTGATACCTGACAAATTAGGCACACTTGTACACACCTATTTATTTTTCCTTCTTATTCATCTTAAAATGGTGAGCTTTTCTTTTGATATATTTTATGTTTGTGAGAGAAGATAACAATGCAGTTAATAGGAAGAGCATGACCCTCGGATGGATCCGATAGTTCAAACCTCAGCTTCAACACCTAGTAGTTGTATAAACTTATTTCTCGGCACCTCAGTATCCTCATAGTAAACTACTTTTCAGTGTTGCTATGAACATTAGTGTAAACAATAGACATTCAAATGTAGCTATATTATTATTAATTATTCTGACCTACAGAAATATGCAAGTTCCTTGGAAGTATACATTTTTGGAGGGAAATCAGGGATAGGGTATTATACATTTTGAGAGGGGGAGTTATTTCCATTCATTGTGTGTGTGTGTGTATTTCACATATTATGTGTCAGACACCATCCCAGGGACTTGGGTAACATTAATAAATAAATCAGACAAAAATTTCTACCCCCATGGAGCTTACATTATTGTAGTGGGTATGACTGATACCCACTTCCCATTGTAGTGGGAAGCTGATAAATACTATGGAAAAATTAAGTAAGCTAAGAGGGACAGGAGGTTGGGAGTGAGTTGCAGTTATAAATTGTGATGTCAGAGTAGGCCTTATTGTGACTATGACAGCGGTTTTGTGCTCTTAGAGGTTTTCATGAACTATCTTTTAGAATGGTTGGATGGGAAGAAGGGAGAGGAGAATGGAGAAAGAAGTAGAAACCTGCTGATTTGTAGGAAAGCATGAATATTTCTTTCGATGTAATATGTCAGAGCACAAACTTATATAAAAGAGTGAAGTTTTCCAGATGGCCTAGTTTTATTTTTTTCAATTTAAGCAAAAATCTTCTTAAAATGTTTTGTACACCTCCGCCTTCCCTAACGATGGCTACTGAATACAGTCCACCTGGTCTGTGAACTCTGGAGGAGGTTACCCCTATGACTGTCGTGTCTGTTACTCGACTGTTTCGAAGCAAGTTCCTCGGGGCTAGCAGAGACGATCTCAGCTATTTGCCCTATGCAATGGCTTGAGCCTGCAGTGATTATAAGTTCCACCCATGTGCAGCTATTTAAGTGTAAATATAAATTAATTAAAATTAAATGACATTAAAAATTCAGTTTCTCAGTCACACTAGTCACATTTCAAGCACTCAATAGCCACATGTGGCTAATGGCTACTCTCTTGGCACAGATATAGAACATATCTGTCACTGCAGAAAGGTCTGTTAGTATTAATTACATTATATGTTTCTGTCTCCGACATTGTTTTTTTGTAGTGTTACTGTCAGTTTTTAGGCCTTTCTCCTCTTTTTGATTTGTTGGTTCTCATTGTTGATAGGTTTAATAACAGATGTAGAATTTTGTGTAAAGTAAAGGTAACTAGGCTCTAAGAGAGATCAGAAGAGCTTTCTTATGTTCAAGTACCTCAGTTTTTGTACTTGGAATTTATATTTATAGTCTGACTGCCCCAAGGCCTCTTTTGCTTGGTTGTTGTTTTGCAGTTGTACTCTGAGTGGTAAGAAAATAAGACTGCTGATTTCTATGGGAGAAGGGCTATCCAACTTTAAAGGTAAAATTGAACACTCATAAAGATGCTTCAGACCCAGTCAATGGTCACTTATTTGGAGCAGTGCCATTCAAGGAGTGTTAAATGATCGTTGCCTACACGTACACCAAGCACTGTGTTAGTTCCTGGAGATACAAACAAAAATGAACATGGCCCCAAACTCTGAGCAGATCATAGTTTAAGCAGCGGAGAGAGCCATAAATAGAGTTTCATCTTTCCAGTGCCCAAGTATGTCCAGGGTGCCCTGAAAGTCTGGAAGAGTGTAATACATGACCCAGCCTTCCCAGAGTGTGGGTAGAGGGATGGGACAGGAGAGAGGAGGCCAGAGAATGCTCCCTAAAGAAGTGATTATTGAATGGAATCTTGAGGGATAAATAGGTGTTGATCACATGATGGAGTTGGGAGAATGGGGTCAACAAGGCATGATGTGCTGTAGCATACACAGAGACACTGAGGAATGAAATTGCATGGTGTGAGAGTGGGACCTTTTAAGTTTAGTATTGATGAAGTTTGAAATAAAAGGGAGCCAGTGTCTCTAGAGGTAGACAGGCTTTGAATGGTATGTTGAAATGATGGGTTTTCGGTAGAAGTGGGAGATGGGCAGGGAGTTGGTGTTGTAGGCAGATCTGGCTTTTCAGTAGTTCAAGCAGGCCACTCTGGCAACTCTGTGGAGGTTAAACTTGAGGAGGCTGGGCTGGAGGCTGGGGTACCAGTGGTGGTGGGAGGGCTGGGCTTCTAACAGTCCAAAAGAGAGGAAATGAGGGCCTGATGTGACAGAGTATAATGGGGTGGAACAGAGGATATGCTTTCAATCAGTATTGATTTTTAGGGGTAAAGTGATCAGTATTCGAGGACTGATTAGATGTGGGAGATGAAGGAGACAGAGGAATCAGAGATGACGGTAAGCTTTCAGGAAGAAAGATTCATTTGAACTCCTCTTCCAAGTCCATGGTGATAGGTTTTGACCTGTAGCTGCTACTGGTGATTTGCATTGGAACGGTGGTGTCTAGGTTAGGTTTTGGCTCTTCAGGACTCCACTGTCTTGTTTGCTGAAAGAACTTGAGTTGAAGCATAGACCATAGTGAAGTACCACTCTCATATGACTTTAATTTTGCAGCGACCTATGGAAATTTATAGAAATTTGGCTTCATTTTTAGTGGCTCCAATCCAGATGCCAAAATTACCCCACTGCTGAGACATCCCTTGGGTGGACCTCTGAACCTGTTATTCATTAGAACCAGCTGAAAACCATCAGCAAAATTCCCATACTATGCCAACAATAACGCCAGTCAAATTTCAAGGTAACTCCAGGTTTCAGAAAGTTATGAATCTCAAAATCTGTCTTGCCAAACCCTTATTTATATTTTTATGCATGCTTTTGTGGAAAAAAGCTAGTGGTTTCCTTACTTTTCATAATTATACATTGCCTCTTTTAGATTATATTTTAAGTTCTGAGTATTTGTGGGGACATGCTTATAGATTTGTAGCCAATCACTTTAAAGTAAAAGTACAAATTCAGTCTGGATAGTGATACCAGAAGTAAGAGAGAAGCCAGCCCAAAGGGTCCATTATGATGAGGCCTATACTGAAAGCAAGAATTCTCTCTTACCTGCAGTGCATTTTAAAAGGATTTTCCAAGTAACAGTTAACATTTATTAAGCTTTCAGAAAAACCTAATTCTCTAGTTTGCAATATTAAGGAAGTATGCTAAATATATGTTGATACTTTAGTTTTTACTGACATATTTCATGACGGCATGGCTAAAGCCACAAAACAGTAGGCTGCTACCACTTTCTCTTAGATAGTTATATTTAGCCACTGCATCTGGCCTTTGTTGCTAAATATTTTCTCCTTGTCATTCTAACTACCCCATCAAGTTGTATCTTCCGTGGTCTGGCAGTTTTTGAATGACTTCTTGGAAATGTGAAACCGTGTTCCCCAATCAGGAAGATTTGGGCAAGTCTTGTGGTATAAGAAAAGGAGGCACATCTCTTCTAACCAAGACAACAGGATTATAGGACAATTACACAATGTCCTCAAAATTTTTGTTTGAAGAATAGTGGTGTGTTTGGTGATGAACAAGTACTGTAAATTGAGAAGCATGGGAAGTTTCCACATCCTTTAAGACTGTTTTTGTACAGAGGAGGAAAGAAAACAAGCTGACTTTTTTGTGGTTCTTGGGAGAGGTTACATTAACCATTTGTTAAAAGTTGGATTTATGAAGAACCTTGGCTTCTAAAAGTATTCTTCACAAATTGCCATCCTTCGTATTATGTCATTGTAGGTTGTTTAGCAACATATCAAAATAGTTTTATGAAAAGATAAATATGTGTTTTATTAATCCTAAGGGAAGCTTTCTGAAATGCATTTGTTAAATAAATAATTAGCGTCATCCTGTGAAATTCATGACTTCTTTGGGCGGGAAAGAAAGAAAAAAAGAAGCTATCTTTTCAAGCAATTTGTGATTTAATACCAGCTGGTCAAGTGAGTTGAAAAACCTTAAGAGTCGTATGTTATATTATTTTGAATGCCTTTTCTCTCTCTTGGGAAACTGGCTAACCTCACAGTCTTTCTCCCGTGGTAAATGGCTCTAAAACTTTGATCTTCTCAAATCAGTTTGCCAGATGTAGCGGAAAGAGCATGTGTGACCTTTTGTGTGCCAATTCAGCCTGGCTGATGGGAAACCATAAGTTAATCTCCTATGACTTTTCTTTCTAGGCATTACAGCTGAAGTTCTGGTGGTGAACTCTTTCAATGAACTGAAGAGAAGGGCCCCAGAAGCAAAAGGGAAGATTGTTGTGTATAATCAACTTTATGTCAACTACTCGATGACGGTGCGATACCGAGTCCAGGGGGCAGTGGAAGCTGCCAAGGTTGGGGCTGTGGCATCCCTCATTCGATCAGTGACTCCCTTCTCCATCTACAGGTGGGTCATGATGTTTATTTGAAATCTTTTCAAAAACAAGAGTTTTCCATGAAAGAAATGCCTTTGTGAAATAAAAACAAACCGTTGAAATGAAAATACTGATTGTTAATGGAATTTCCCCCCATTCCACATTTGGTCATTTGTTTGTAATATCTTCTTTGGCCTTTTCGGGATTCCAAGCATCATTTGTGCATTCCTTTCAAAAGCTTTCAAGTTTTCCACATCCACAATGATCCCATAACTTTCCTTATATAACTAATATATTATGTATTTTCACTGGAGGAAGAACTGAATTCACGTCTGCCTTTCATCAAAGATTCCTAATGACTTCAGAGGGAGCCAGACTGTTTTCCATGTTGCTAGAGAAGTTAAATAAAAAGAGAGTGGGTAACATGATGGGGGCCATCTATGGTGTGGTGGAAAGAGTTGGGGAATTAGAGGACCTTGGATACAGACCTGGCTCTGCTCCTAAACAACTGTGTGGCCTTGGGAATGTTTCTTAAGCTTCTCTGGGCTTTATAATTTTCTTCTACTAACCAGGGATGATGAAGAATTATAAATGTACAAAATAATTTTAAGATTAAATGAGGTAAACTTATGAAACACACTTGATTATCTATAAAAGTCTATATAAATGTTTGGAGGTATTGTTTTAGGGCAAATTAAAGCTTGCCTTTTTCTTTTTAGTCCTTATCGAGGTAATGTCAAAGTGCCTTATTTCCCCTCAGTCCTAGGAATGAAACTCAGTATTGCAGTTGATAAAAGGTCTAAAAAGTAACATGTAGACATTAATAGTTATTGTAGCATCACACATTAGTGATAAAATATTTGAGAAACATGGATAAAAGAAGCACCATCTTAGTGTTATAGCTGGGTTTAAGATTTTTTAAAAATGTAAAAAATAATTGCAGATAGGGTTTATTCGGGTCTCAAGACTGGATTTTTAGTATCTGTTGTAAAGGAAAGTTATTTATTCTGCACAGTGCTGTTTGGAACTGAGAACATAACTGCTTGACCTTAATTAGCACCCTACATCCCATGAAAATAAAATAACTGAGAAGGAGACCTCAGCAACTAGGAAACCCAGTCAAAGGCTAGTTGTATACAAGTGCAGAGAAAAGGAAAGAGACATTTTTCTTTTACAAGGATAAGATGCCTTCCCAGGGGAGGAAGATGGGGCATGTTAAAACTACTTGTCAGAAATTTTATGAGAGAAAAACTAGTTACACTGATGTCATAGTGCTAAAAATAATGTTCTTTGTAAAGTGTTTAAAGGTTTTGTGACTAGTAAAACAATGACTGGACCTTATTCTTTTGGATGGTTAATCTTCCGAGGAGGGAAGTCCTAAAATGGCTAGTTTACTTCCCAGAATACCTCAATTACCCCTTGGAATAACATACTCAGCAAGCTGTGGTCATTCACCATGCTCTGCCTGGTCATGAGACTTAAATTATGGAGCTAGTCTGTTGCATTGGAAAACTGGGCAATTGCCAGAAATCTTTATTTAAGAACTACTACTCATAAGACTAATAAATTCGCAGATGACTTAATGCACAGTGATCTGCCAGGGTTTATTGGCATTTTTTTTTCTGGCATAATGAAGACATTTAGAAACCCAGGCTACAACCTAGAAGTACCAGAAGAATTTACAGTATGGGACTTCAAAATCTGTAGTTAGCCTCTAAGGTTTGGGGTGAGCAACTTGTAGTGTCAGTGTTAAAAGGAACTTTTTCTTAATATTTTTAGATCTAGACTGATTATAATTTATCACTGATTTTATAGCCAGCCGTATTTCACTGTACTCAACTTTTATAACTTTATTCTTTCAACATTTACAAATATATGATAACATTGGCCTTTATATAGTACTTTAGGATATTTTACATATATCATCTTATTTGTTCTGACAACAGCCTGAAAGACCATACAGAAGGGGCATTCTTATCCCATTTTATTGATAGGAAATAAAAGCTCAGAGAATTAGACATATTAACATATTTAAGTCTTGCATCCCCCAAAATAAAAACCAGAATGAAATAAACTCTGTCTCTTTGTCCACTTCAGCCTTATTGTTTTTAGAACCAAATTTCCTTAAAGAGTGTTCTATATTCCTTATCTCGAATTCCTCATCTCTCATTCTCTCTGCAGATTATTTTAGCCTGGCTTTTTCCAATACTGAAATGGAACTTGTTAAGGTCACAAATAGGTGTCTAGTTACCAAATTTACCACAGTTCAAGCCATCACCTTACTTCACCACTTTGAAGTACTCACCACTATTGATTGCTTTTTCAGTATTTCTTCTCTTTGGCTTCCATGACTTTCTCTCTCATGTTTTTCTTTTTTTTATCTCTCTCTTGTTTGCTCTTACTTTGGCATTCTTTGGCTCTTTCTCTCCTCCTTCCCTATATTTCTGACTTCTCCCTCTGAATATTCTATCTGAGCAATCCCATAATGTTTGTGGCTTCAACCACCATCATACTGTGGTAATTTCCAAACCTACCTCCACTATCCATACCACTGCTGTAGCTCTAGACCCACATACTCAATTGCCTATTGATTCTTCTTCTGGATGTCCCATAGCTAGACCTGCATACTCAATTGCCTATTGATTCTTCTTCTGGGTGCCCCATAGCTATCTCACTGTCAATTTTTTCAAAATTGAACTCATCATTTCACTTCTTTCTCCTGCATTTTCTCTCTCAGTGACAATAATACCATCTATTCTGCCTTCGGGGTTGGATGGTCCTTGATTATTTTTTTCCTCTTCCCTTGTCCATCATTTCTAGTAGTTACTAAGTCATTTAGGTTCCACTTTTTATCAATCATTTCAACAAATACATGTTGAGCAGCTCCATTTCCCTGCATTACTCCACATATCAGTGGTCAGAATAACTGGCACATTTCCAAAGTTTCATGATTTTTGCATGTGCTTTCTCCTCTGCTACCCTCCATTCCTTTTCTCATTGTCACACACCATCCTTCAGGATTCATCTTAAGTATTTCTTTTTCTGGGGGGCCCTCTCTGATATCTAGTTGTGCCCAAGTGAACTACCTCTTTTTGGTAGTCTCACATCATCTTGTGCCTACTCTGTATCATAATGTCTTAGAAGTAGTTGTGGTTTGTGCTTTGGTAGGGTAGACTAACTATTGTAACAAACAACTTCAAATCTCAGTCATTTAACACAATAGGAGTCACTTTCTTGTTCATATGATAGTTCCTATGGGGTAGGAAGTTCCTAAAGGATATTCAGCAAGTGACCTTCTGCTTCTTTCCATCTGTGGTTCCATCACCTCTGAGATTTCAGAGTCCTCTGCATCCAGCTGGCAAATAAGGGAACAGAGAGAGAAAGTAGATATCCTAGAGGTATGTTTTCTGTGGTTATCCATATCTAGGCCTGGATGTGACATACCTCAGTTTTGCTCACATTCTACTGGCTAGAATGCCATTATGTGGAGGCTGGGAGATTTGGTCTATCTTTATGCCCAAAGTGAAAGGCAAATGAGTTTGGTGAAAAACTTCCCAGTCTGTCCCAACTGCGTGACTTCACATTAGAATGTAATTTCCAGAAAGACATCAATTATATATTCTTTTACCTCTATGTCCCTATCATCTAGTATAATGTTTGGTATATAGTAGTCACTCAGGAAATGTCTGTTGAAGAAATGAACTTGTCTGAAGTTGTATAGTAAACCATGTCAGGGATCTCATGACAAACCAGGTCACCCAATTCCTAGTGCTCTTTGACCAAAGTGTGTAACCTCTGTATCCTAAATTTAGAACAACTTGAACTTTTAGGCCATTTTACTCTGTATTTGGAGGAAAATATCCAGGTGCCCAATATAGCAGATTATATCATTATTTTTTCTGCCACAATATTCATGAACAATGATGTTTTGACTTGCTGGTTAAATAAAATAGCTCCTTTCTCTCTTACAAGCATTTTCACCCTTAGCTCTATATGAGTGAGTGATATTAAAGCCTGTCTAGGGATATTGTAGAAGTCAGCAACACTAGAGAACAGAATGTATATTGTAATTTGTTGCTGCTTGGCTTTAAAATTAGAGGACCCCTTAGAGAACAGTTTGATTTGACCAGTTTGGTCACTTTTCTGTGTAATCATCAATATTGTCAGCCATTTTTTTTTAAATTATGCCCCTTCGATTCTAGGATTGTCAGCCATTTTAGAAGTGTAACAGTCACATGGTTACATGACAAATGTCCCCCCAAAAAAACATATTACTTATTGCCACCATCCAGGTTCATTATTGTTATTTCTGTGTATTGCTATTATTTGTGTTCCTTATGCTCAACTTTGCTTCAAAGAGAAGACTTTTCCTTTCCTGATGCTTTTATAGCAACACTTATTTCATCCACCATTGAGTATCAATGGGACTCCCACAAAAGCTTCTTCAGTTTTTCTGAGTGTAGAATACCTTTGTTTTGTCATAGATATTTTAAGAATAAATGCAATTAGTTAGAGATTTAAGTTCAACAGAACTTTTCTATGGAACCATTTGTCTTATATTCTGAAATTAATCATATTTTTAGTAAATATTTATTGAGGGCTTACCAGTTAATCAGAAATTTCTGGACACAAGGATTACTTAGATGAATTAGATGTTTTCTTTGTCCTTCAGAAGTATTCTATCTAGCTAAAATGAAAGGAAGTAAGCTTAAAATATGTGATTAGTATAATATATTTTATATTTATTGCTAAAAGCATGATTGGGGGAAAGGGATGAAGGAAGGAAATTACCACTTGTTAAGCATCTACTTTGTACTATGCTTCTCTAAAGGTTTAAATAGTTTGTTTCTATTAATTCTTATGCAACCCAGTAGAACTAGATATTGTACAGCTGAGGTCCCCAATCCCTGGGCCCGTTACGGGTCCATGGCCTGTTAGGAAAACGGACATGCATTACTGCCTGAGCTCCGTGCCCCCAATCCCGCATCCACCCGCAGTCTGTGGAAAGATTGTCTTCCATGAAACTTGGCCC